AAAAAAGCTAAGCACGCCACTGCCAAGTCTTGTTAATATTTTAATTAAAGCCAAATCGGCAGCACATGAGCTTGCAAAGCTTGTAATAATATGTACCTACATATATTGTAAATGTGTTAAAAATATATTAGCTACACGGAAGTATGGCATATACTTAGAAATTTTAAAAATTAAAAATATATTGTGTGTAATTAGTTTTATTTTATAATAAAAAGTAATTTTTATTATGATGAACAAAATTATAAAATAATTTACATGGAAGTTTTAGATATGAAATATATGATTCGCTAGTTGATCGTTACAGGCTTACGGCTATACCCATATTATTTATTTTATTTTACGTTTTGTATGATGCATAAAATGTTACTGAATAAGATAATATGTCAGTAATATTTAGTCTTTTATTTTGGAATAAAAGAGTTAGTTATCATTACAGCGATATGTATTATTTGTTCATTAATTCCATATTTCTACAATAAAAAGTTTATAAAAGACAAATGAAAGTTTAATAAATTACTCAGTTCTTGGAAGTGGCTTGATATTTTAGATATTTATAAACTCTACAATATTATGTCTGTGCCTATATTAAATTTAGCCCATGTACAATAATTGTTTATTCTTATATTTAACACCAATTGTTCACTTCGTGTAAGTTAATTGAACTAATAACATCTATACTTGTTTGTTTAGTAACAGAGACATTTTTTTTAATCGTATACGCGCGTTATATCTGTCAGTCAATTTTTTTATTTATTTTTGTGGTGTTGAAAAATATAATGACACCAAAGAAACAAAGAGCCCAGGTAAGTAAACTATCTCAGCGGTTACGTATGAAAAAAACACAAAAAGAGGAAAAACTGAATGTAGTGTAAGTATCTAATTATTTCACGTGTTTTTAAAACATAATTTACTAAACTTATTAAACATTTCAATTACTAGTGAAAGTTTCAATTTTCTACGACTTATACTTTTTGAATAACAACAAATATTTTAAATCATTTTAGAATATACCGTTATTTTAATTCAAGTTTTTTAAGTTTTTTTCTATATTTAGAATAGCTATACAATTTTACACTGTAGTTTTTTTTTTTATAAATGGCAATAAAATTATTAGGCATATTTAATTTTTTTTAGAAAACAAACGACGTATAAAGATACTGAAAAAAAACTGAAATTATTGAAAATAATTTTAGTACAGAAACAGAAGATTTGACTTCTAATGATATGCTAGTTTGTCAAGCTTCCAATTTACTAGAAAACAAAACAAATAATATTTGTGAACAATTTAACTCTATAATAAATAAACATATAGGTGGTAAACAAATAAACTTTTCTAGTCGAGGAAACTATAACACTCGAATTAAAGCAGCAGTTGTAGTATTTAATACAAAAGAATTCTTACGAAAAATTCACAAAAAGATGACTAACGACCATAGTCCAGATAATATATTAAAAATAATATTGAATTAATAAAAAATATTTTATAGGTTTAATTTAAAAAATGTTGTACGGGGAAATTTGGGAAATCATATTTAAATAATCACAGTCGAAAACTTTCTAACACCACGAAAAGACGACGACTATTTCCAGAATGTAGAAATCATATACATTATTCAGTTAATGGACCTGATGGAGATAATGGGTTTGCGGAACCTTTGGTCGTTGATTTGTTACGCGGGAACAGAGCAATAATCAAACTTGCTTTAAAGAGCGTAGGATTCGACTTATTACTTCTCGTTTTGGTCGAATATTTAAAATGAGATGTACTACCAGTTGTAAGAATTTGGTGTATGATTTGTTATATGCATGTGAAGCGCAGGCGAAGTCTTTACAATATGGTCGAGACATGGAGGCTATTGCTCGTACAGAAATAGAAAAAAATATTAATAAAAAAATAAAAACATGCGGTTTATTGATAAATCCAATAATTCCATATTTAGCAGCGAGTCCAGGTAACTAATATTTTGCAATTTAGAATTATTACAATTAATTCATATCGAAAAAGCTGTCACGTAAGCTTATATGTATAAGTGTATAATGGTATTAGATATTTATATAAGGAAATATATTTATGTTTGCAATCAATGTTTAGATGGTCTGATAGAAGATAACACCATTGTTGAAATTAAATGTCCCTTTTCTGCCAAGAATACTTTAAATGCAATTGATGCCGTGACAAATAAACTTGTAAGTATATTATTATGTTGTATAACTATTTAATAATTAAATAGGTACTTAGCTATAAACATTAATATTATATTTATAAACCTAAAAAAATCCATTTGTATTTAAATAATTGTAGTTTGTTTTAAATTTACAGCTACAATATTGTAAAATAATCGATGGATCTGTTAAATTAAAATTAGACCATGAATATTATTTTCAAATAATCGGACAATTGCACATATCTCGAAGAGATATGGGCTACTTTGTATTATACACTTCAAACTGGATACATATTGAAATAATTAAATATGACAGTTCATTTTGGGAAAATAAAATGGTCAACAAATTAAAAATGTATGTTGCATTATTAAATATATTTTAATTTTTAATCCATAATTATTTGTTGTACTGAATTATTTTTTTATTTTAGATTTTATAACGAATGTTTGCTCCCAGAGATTGTCAATCCATTATACCCTAAACGTATGCTCAAGGCAGATATAAGAGAATCGGAGAGAATAAAAAATAGTATTAATTCAAACAAAAGAAAAAATTTAATTTATTCTAAAGATAGATATAAACGTGTTATTATCATATTCCACTCCAAAATTACTTATCCACCCATAACCAACTCATTATACAACTTTATTAGTACTTTAACAACTGCATCATGTTAAAAAATGCACAAAAACTATTATATAAGAAGTATATGTGGTAGGTACATATACAAAACTATAACGTAAAATATATGCAATGCATTTATCTATTAGAAAACTAATATTTTGATATTTAGGTTATAGTTGTACATTATTATGAGATATTATATACTATTATAATAATACAGTTAATTTATACTTTTTATGAAATACTGAGAGTAGTACGTAGGTTGTATACCTAATAACGCAATAAATATAAATCGCGTAGTTACGCGCGAATATTGAAAATATTACAGCAGCACTTACGTATTATATATGCATTTTATATTTACGCGACCCGTTACATGCGAATGTTCAGAAAATAATGAACACCGCTCCCGAACGAGTACAATCGTCGACCGGCCGCCGACTACGAGTACTGGGCGTGGCCCAAACGTCGCGTGCTTGCGGATCGTGAAAACACTTAATAGCGCATTCTCTTGGCCGTTGCATACGTTTTGCTTTTGGTATAGCGTCCTCTTAATGAGCTAAAAAAGTTTTCAAGTACATCCTGATTAACTCTACTTGTGAGTGTATATTTGACGTCAGGATACCTTTTTTTTACATCTTCAAACATTAGTTTCAATGATGTATTGGTAATAATTATTCAATATAATTAAAAATTGTTTATATATTTATATCAATGAAATTAATATACATATACATATTACATATACATATACAATAATATACATATTATATTGTACAATACCTTTTTGAAACGGCTTTAAACATGTAGTTTGTTTACCTTTTAAGTAAACTCTTTTGTTTTCTATTAATTTGTTCATTTCCGATAGTATTTTATTTTGGTTGTCTAAATCCAGTCCATAAGATAATATAAATTTATCTTTAGGTAGTTGCGTATTAAGTAAATTAAACCAATTGTTAAATAGTTTGATTACATTTGATGCCTGGATAGAATTAAAAATTAAGCATTTAAACAATTTTATAATAACATTATTGGAAGGTAGAAGGAAATAACATTAATAATGAAACTAGTAAGAGTATACAATGATAGATGTGAACTTCTAAGTCTAAATATTAATTTTTTTATTATAATATTAACTTACTTCTTTCCAATTAGAGAATTGCAATACATTTTTTTGGCCAAAATATGAAATTGCTTTTGCCATTAAATTAGATAATACCTGGGCTGCCAATTTTACATTTTGTCTTTGTGATCCTACTACATTTAAATGGAGATCTGTAACTTTGTAAAAACAACTTAAATCTCCTTTGTTTAGACCAAAAACTTCTTGAAGAATTTGTTTTCCAATGTATGTTTGATTCGGTAAATAAAACCACTAAATGATTTCTAACAAGTTTCAGGAGATGTAAAACGTCAGCAAACATGTAAATTTGTTCTCCAGAAACATGATATTCAAATGAAGTTTTTGTTGGTGTGATTCCAAGACATTTCCAAAGTCTAATATTTGTA